ATTTTTGGTACTTCAAACCCAACCAAGTCGCTCATTTTTGGCTAAATTGCACGATAAGACAGGACTTTGTAGTAAACACTGTAAAATCGTACGTACCGGTTTTCTTGGTTGTTCTAGCGGTGAGAATTCCTCTATTGGTGTAAATCTATCCCACTTCCGACATCCATGTCACAATTTTTCCATTTAAACTCTTTATTCAATAACGCAACAGCTACTACATGACAACATGGGCGAAATCAAAATGGCGGGTCCGATACCACGTTTTTTCCCACAGGTCCGATGGGAGCGCGTGGTATGACGTAATATGACAAATGGTATATATGGCAGAGAAAGTTTGCAAAGCGATTTGGTCTGTAATGGTGATTGGTGGCTAAACAGCGACAATATTTCAATCCTCAAGGATTCGACTGCACCTCTCATTCCTCATGCATATAGCATTGAGGAGGGTGATTTTGTTGGCAAAAAGAAATTTTTAGAGAGATTGCTTGAGACAGAACTGCAAATAAAGCCTTTGACTCTGGTTAAGGATGGCATTTACAGCCAAAGGCCAGTTTCAAATACTTTTACCCTAAATCTGAACTTGGAGACAGTGATGTCCGTTCTCTGCACTGATGAGGAACATTCAAAAAATGCTGAACACAGTGATATTGATCTATGTGGGAAGATTTCCATTCTGTATGGCATCCAGGATACAATAGTGTCAGTGGTTGCTAGTGAGGTGGTAGGAATGTATGATTATATCTCAGGAGCTGTGTATAGCTTGAAGGGATGCTGTCATGATGAATCTGAATATCAGTTAAAGGTAATTTATTCTAGTAACTAGAAGGTTGGTGGCTTTGATGAACTAACATAAATGAATTGGTTGTACTAGACTCAGGTTAAATATAGAACAGGTTTCTAGTTAAAGTGATGGTCAGTGTCTCTTGTCAGTGTTCAGTCAGTGTTGTGTGGAGACTCCTGCCTGTTTTGTTGAATGATTCTGCCTTCTACAAAAATGTGTCTATGTTTGAAAATTGACTCCTAAAAATTTGGCAGATTTGTCATGTAGTCTAAGCATCAGTAACTTTGTGTTTCGTCCAGTTCTAGGATGATTCGTCCTGCAATCTATTAGTAACCTTTTGTTCATAGTGAGTTCTCAATCAGGCTTTCCAACCAGTCCAGATATAAAATTGTCTGGAACTTGTCGTGAAGGTTGTGGGGAAGTGCATGTATTTCGTCTTTGTGTGTGGCTGTGGACGTTTAGCAGTAGCATAGCTAAAGCCAGACATCTTTTGTCAGCTTGTCTTGCAATGGTTCCCAGTGGGCCTATGAAATTGGATGATATATCTCAGTAACTGTAGCTAAGTTGTTAACATATATTTATCAAAATTTCCATAATATTAAAGCTAGAAATGCTGTAATTTCATAAAGTACTTTAATTCAGTGCTGAGAATTTGTTTATCTATGTAGGACAAGAAGTCCCCCCTTTCATCAAGTACAGTGAGTTTGGACCTTAAGGAATTCATAGTTCATTTTCAACAAGAACTGACAATGTCATCTCACAACGTTGACAATGACAATGTGTTAAAGGAGCACTCTCCTGTTGCCTGGTTACTGATCTCACCAGCTCTTGGAGCGACCCTTGACTGGCAAGTACAAGAGAAAGTCCTTGAATTTATAGAAACTTTGTCATCAGAGGAAATTGCTGACAAGCAAGCATCTGATAGTTACAACGAAGGATGCTTTTCAAGCCAGTGGTACAATCTGTTGGTAGTTGTTGACCAATATCGTTGTTGTGAGAAGAATATTCCACTGATTGAGGTATTTGAGTTTTGCAGGAATGGTGAAATTAATGTTGTAAACTTTGACTTAACTTAAACGATCAGTCCATGTGAAACAAGCCTGACTAAAGAATGGAACAATTGAAGTATTGCTGGTAATGCTGTGCTTTGATACATGTATGTCATCATGTAAAGTATTGATTATATTCATCTGCAAGGTTTTGTTTTACAGTATATTGTATGAGCTCTCATGTAGCAAAAGTTTAACATTTGTTTGTAGCCACTCTTATATTTTTGCAAGATTTTCTATTGGTATAAAGAGGTTAAACTTCCTTCAGGAAGTGTTCAAAGATGAACTTTAACCTTAAACCCCCAAGAGTGATTTACTTCTAATTTCTCCTTACAGTATCAACCTTGATTCAAATGTAAAGGTTATCAGAATGTAGGAAATAATCACCAATTTAAGTAGTTCCTGATTGTCAAACAAATTCTCCTTGTCAGTACCAAATGTAAGGGCAACAGTGTGGAGACTATTAATACTAATTAGAATGTGCAGGGTAAGGAACTCAAAATGAGAATTAAGCTTTTTTTAATTTTCCTTGACTTGGCCAATCAATTACCCAACTGAAACATTTTGAAGTGAAGGAGGAAAAAAAAGGCGAGGTTACAGTTGCGTTTATTAGTTACATAACAAGAAGTGCCATTTACCAAATTTATAGCAAGATCAACATTGTTACTCAATGGAACCTATTCGGGTGATATCCCTTTCAATTTTTTTTTGTATCAATCATGCATAAATGATGAGCAGCTTCAAGAGTTTGGAACAACCCAAGCTTTGCAACAACCCAACCCAGTTACAAGAGAGTAATTCGCGATTCACTTACTTCTTTTCTGACTTTCTCTTCTGAACATTTCTCCGATGAAAGTCGAGGTCTTTTTGATGGTCTCCGATGCGAAAAACCCGTGGGTATTGCACCTGGTTTTAGCGTAGATCTGGGTTTCAAACCAAGAATTTCTGCTTTCAAGTCTCGTTCGTAGCAGTCAGGTGTAAAATGTTCTGAGCACAGCCTGGAGTTTTTCGAAACGACCAGATCCGCTCGTGAGATCTTTGCCAGCCACTGTGATCGTAGAGCTTCATCCCTCGGAAAGCAATGGTAGGATATACCAGTTGTGTACCTCGAGTCGTTGTTACAATTGAACGCCGCGCAGTATACCATTTTTTAGCTCGAAAGTAATCGAAGTAAATATAACAACGAGGGCTACTCAACCGCCAAGAACAGATAGAAGAATAAACTCAAACAACTCGGGCTTCCGTATTTGTACATCCTTTCTTGCGTAAGCCAAGAATTAAACCCATTATAGAGAACTTATAAACCAAAGTTCAACACGAATTTCAAAATTTTATTTCGTTTTGGACTTCTTGCGACATTGTTAACAGCGTGCGTTATCGTACATGCCTTTGCAAAATCCAGACTACAAACGCGTTGCAAACTAATGTTAAAAAAGGTAAATAACAAAATATGGGAAACAGAATGGAAGATGAAATATCTTAAATTACCAGTATGTAAGAAAAATTAAAGTGGAGACCCTATTCCGAAAACATCGAGGTCAATCCAAGTATAAAAGATGCGCCGCACATGATCTGGACACGTAACTACGTTTCAGAGACACAGGGTTACGAAAGCCAAAACATTTTTCTCTTACACAATCCCTGGACAGAAGACCAATTTTCTTATATGAGAGGCGCTTGAATCATTTTTTGCTTCACCTTGCACAATCTTTACTCCTGGAAAACCACAAATTCTTTCCCGCGAGCAAGCCGCAGTCCTGAATTCAACTTGCCTGTTTCTTGCTGTGTTTACCTTCATCACCATAACCTACGTCACACGCTACAAAAAAGAACCGCTGACATTCGTGTTCTGAGCCGACGTACCACAGTCAAATGTCGAGCCAATTATCACTAAAAACCCTTCGTTTTCTGGATGAAAACTGTCGTTCGAGGGGAAAAAAATGACGGAAATTTGTTCCATCATACATAAATGTACGATACACGGTGAAAAAAATTACATGAATTTGGACTTCAGTTCTCCTTTAAAGTAGACACCCCAAAAGATCTCCATGCGTCCAGTAGTTCCAGTTGCAACATTATGCCATTTTTTTTTCGTATTAAAATATGCTACTCTTATTGAGTATTGTTGTTTATCTCATAATGTACTCACTTCGAATATGGATGGCGATGTTTCAACTGCATGCTAGTAAATTTTATTACATAAACTGAGGTGCTATATAGGGATTTCCAGCCCTAAGAAAAGCCATAACAACACAGGTAAAAAAAAATACGTTTTTTTTCACGAGTGTTTGATATCACTAATCAGCTGCTTACACGTCACTCGCCTTTTGCACCACTCAGTCATGTTGATGAATGAATGGCAAAGTCCTCACTGTTGTTTGTCAGAATTTCCTCAGATTATGGCTGCTAAAAAACCGAAAAATCCCTATCGCTTACAGACAGTAACGTTCAAACTTGCCTAGAAGGGGAAGAAAATCAAAATACAAAAAGGAAAAATGAAAGTTATGTATTCAGTGGCTTTGGTAATAATGGGAAAATGGTCACTAAGAGAGTGGCAGTGTAATGTGGCCTTACATGTTACAGAATTATAAAATGTTTGTATGCATCATGGATTCTCACGGGCTTACGTGTGAAGCCATATCAACAGTACAATAAAGTGGCAAAATTTGGAAGAATGGAAAAATGACGCAACTATTTGCCTTGGTTTAGAGGCAAGTAGAAGAGTTAGGCTTGAAACTTTTTCCACTGACTGTCCTTTGACAAGGACATAAAATATTTAAAATTGCCATTTTAGCAGGATATGTTACAGTTGTAATAATATGTATCGAACAATCTAGATGAACTGTGTTCAAATGAACACTTAAAATTTATGACAGATTTCTACAATTCAGGAATGTTTGGAAGAGATATTTGAGCAATCTGTGGATATAAAAATGAAAACAAGTGTGAGCAGTGCATAAGCCATGCAAGGGCATGAGGCAAAAGCAAGAAAAAAAGGGGAAGCTAGGAAAGGGTAAAGCAAGGCATGGTGTGCCACTGTGCCTAGAGAATCCAGAAAATTCACTTAAATTATTTCACAATGGTCCATAATACAGGTTAGCCCCAGCATTTCATCAGACTTTCCTGACAATTTTTGTTTACCCACTTATACTCCTGTAATATCTTTATGTTATTATTTTGGTTGATTTTAGTTGATTTATCTTTTCAATCCAGGTGGAAGGGAAGTGTTATTTCAGGCAGGTCCTGAACATCCTTGGCTGATCAAGACATATTCAGAGGTAGCCCCACACCCCTGTGCACAAGCTCTGGGCCAAGATGTCTTTCAGAGTGGAATCATACCTAGTGACACTGATTTCAGGATTTACAGGGACTTTGGCTAAGTACCAGGTATCTGAATTATAGACTGACACCTAGAGACTGATTGAATGACTGAATGACTGACTAAGTGAATAAATGACTTATTGACTGATTGTCTGAATGAATGATTGAATAAACAACTTGATGGCTGGCTTACTGAACAACTTACTGACCTACTGACTGAATTACTCTCTCACACTGACAGATTGAATGACTGATTGAATGACTGACTGACTGACTGACTGACCTACTGAATGAATGAATGAAATGCTCCTTAACTGACTGAATGACTGGTTAGTATTTGATCAATTCATTATTCACTGATTACCTTATTGACTGATTGATTGTAATCTTAGTGAAAATCTCTTTTGCATTGAACCAATCTGGTTAGTATACTAATAATTTTCTGATGTGTAGGAATGGACCTTCCCTATATTGCCAATGGTTATGTTTATCACACAAATTATGATACACCAGCTGCTGTTACTCCAGGCTCTATTCAGCGTGCTGGTGATAACATACTGGCTTTGGTCAAGAGCATAGCTAATTCACCATTTCTGGCTGACCCTGGAGAGTATTGTCATGGTTCCATGGTGTTTTTTGACTTTCTGGGAATTTTTGTGGTACATTACCCTGAAAGAATTGGTTTGGTGATAAATCTGACATCAGCTTTTGTGGCAGTTCTTTGTCTTATGAAAAAATTCCTTCATTTTCCAGCAAAGAGAACCATCTTTGAAGAGGGTAAGGCATAATTTACAAGTAGATATCTATTATTAACATTCTACATTTTCTAAATTTTGTACAATGAGCTATGAAAGCATAGGCCTTAGAGCTGACCTGAGTACATCTTCTTTTCCATGTGTGAATTAATCAAAGTTTTGTAGTCTGAAAAAAAATCAAAGCTACACAAAATAAACAAGGTAACAGTGGGTGGTTTTTTTTTTATCAACTCTTTTAGAGCATTTCATAAAATATGATTAGGTCATTTTTGGGACTGGTAAGCTTTTATATTCTGTTCATTGTTTCCATGCATGTTGGTAAAATTGTCAACATTTTCAATTTTCTGTAAAGCCAGTTTCCTATTGTGATAGGAGAAATGGCATAGATGAGGGGTGTCATACAATTTTTACAAGATTGTGGATCTTAAAGTACACTGCAACTGAAAGCTGTCCTTAACACTCTTTTTAACTGTTGTTTTTCATCAGGCAAAGTATTAAGACTCACATCTGGTGTAGGAGACCTTATCATCTCTCTGTTCATCCTATTACTCTCATGGATAGTTGGAACATCATTTTCTGTGGCTGTAGGTGTCCTTCTGACGTACTCAGGTCACTCACTAACTTGGTACTGCCGACCTTACCTCCTCTTGGCATTATACACAGCACCATCTCTACTGGGCATTGGTTTGGTTCATTTTCTCATTAAGAAGTCTATTGTGGCAAAGGTAGACACAATTTAATTGTCAATTTAGTGACAAGCAAAGAAAATTTGACAATTTCCTTTCTTCTTATGACCAATATATTTGATCTGGGGGGTGACAGTCAGGGACTTCAAGACAAGCTGTTGACCGCCAGAGTTCCACCATATACTTGATAACATGTCCCTGGTTACTCTGGTCAAAATAATCACCTTTTGGCCTTTTAATGAACTTTTCCCACTCACATACTTTTGCTGCATCTAATGCTGACTTCAATACATTTTGAAACACCTGGACAGCATGGGGAGAAATGAGATGCTAGTCTCCCTAAGGGGTTAATGGGTCAACAGAAAAGTTAATATTGTTTTGCCTCCTTTTTGGTCTGCATAATGTTATTGTGGTGAACTGATCATCTCAAGTCTTTGTTTGCACTCATTTGAATTTCATTATTTGTCTCCATTGAAAGTGAATTTTATTTTGTCAGGTTAAAGATTTATCAATGTCTTAATTCATTGGTTTGATTGTTCAACATATGAAAAGAACCAAGAAAAAAGAACAAAGAACCAAAATTTATATTTTCATTTTGATCTCTGCTTTCAGTTTCTTATGGCAGAATTTGTAGCACTTAGCTATGTAGTGTCCTCCTTTTCAGGCAGTAACTGGTAAAATTCATCACTAGTAGCACTTCTTGTTACCGCCTAAAATCACCTGATATTCTGGAAAATTCAACATTTTAAAGGATTGGTCTGAAAATTTAACATACCTGTTTTACTTAAAATAAGGGAGAAGAGTGGCTATGCACACTTGTTATGCTTCCAGTGAAGCGGAACAGGTTAAAAGTCAAATCAAGCAAAAAAAAAACAACAACAATGGGCTATGCATAAGCATTTCCTACCAGTTTAAGTTTGGACTGCATCTTTTTTCTTGTTGTGGGATACTTTGCCATACTGCATCTCAGCATCAGCTTCAAAAATCTTATAAATTTATTGAGGACTAGTCACAGATCCAAAAATGAAGATGGAAATTACATTTACCAAAAGATAGTGTTTTCAATGTTTTTTTCCTCAGGAAAAAGCTGTGTCAGAGAAGAAAGAAGACAACATTCCTCTCAAGGAAAGGATATCTAACCAACTTGTGAAGAAAGAAGTAGAAACATTTTATGCTGCTTTCCTTGTCTGGACAATAGTCATGTTGATAATGTCATATTATCGCCTGGCTTCAGCACATTTACCATTGCTCTTCATCATCTTTCCACTGATTATACGAGTTGTTATATGGGACAATGTATTAACTGCAAAGACAAGTCATGAAAATGTTGGAGCGTTTTTGTTTATGTATCTCTTAGCTACACTAGTACCTGTTCAGTTCTGTATGTATTTGACATTTGCTATGTTTGACGTCTTTATGCCTATTATGGGTCGAGCTGGAACACAAACACCCCCAGATGTCTTTATAAGTGTCCTGTGTGCCTTTGGAGTTGTGCTGTTGACTTCTTATATGGTGAGTGTGCTCAGTGAAATTCAATCAATTTGCTGATTAAATACTGTTAAAATTCTGATAAGAAGATAATTAAGGGAAAGTTTGTACTTGAGCCAAGCAACCCCCTGAATGGGATGCCAGTCCATCACAAGGATACCCCCCCACCCAGCATTTCATCAGGCTTCCCTGACCAACTTGGTTGGCACCTACTTTTACTTCTGGGCTCAATTGTTTGAAAGGTAATTAGCCCTAACAGACAGTGTAGGTTTACATTTTATTCTTGGTTTCTTTATTCCCTTGTTTAAAAGCCTTTTTTTGGGATAATTTTCTCTATACTTTTTAGAGCATTCAATCATCAAATTGTAGACAAAAGAATTCTCCTGAATGATCTGAAATCAGATTTCACACTAACCCTGGGTTATCTTAACCCAGCTTTGAACAACTGAGCCCTGGGAGAGAGAGAGAGAGAGAGAGAGAGAGAGAGAGAGAGAGAGAGAGAGAGAGAGAGAGAGAGAGACATATGCTTGTTGATACCCCGCCTCAATTTTGGTCGATTTCCCGCCATATGGCTGACGTCCCGCCCCGTGGTTGATAACGTGACCCGATTTTGGTTGATGTCCCGCCGTTGGTTGTTGTCCCGCCTTATTTAGTGGTTGATCACACGCCGGGTGGTTGATGCCATGCCAGGTGGTTGATGTCACGCCCTGTTAATGTCCCCTTAATTGTTGACGGAGTAAAATGATGGAGGATTTCACAGTTTTAACGGTAATTATTGTTTTAGTCTTTAGGTGTGTACATCAATAAACGTACTATAGCATTTTGCATTCAGTTTATTTTTTAAAACTTGCTTTTATTTTTTTTTTCCTCCTTAAACTTTTTACTACGCGCTCTCATCGATTACTACTTTAGAATGACATCGAATGGCTTAATAGCTTGTTTGTGATCATTTAACAGTATCACATAAACAATTTGGGGTGTTCTTTCGATCTTAATATTTCCGTCGCTGGCTATCTGAGATTAATATTTTCATTCTAACATCATGATGTGAGAATTTGTTCTCAGAGTCGTGAAGTCTTCATTTACTAATTATTTGGAAGTTGGCTCTCTGCTTTCCCTGATGCAAGAGTATTATCCCGAAAGTAAGGATAAAAGTCTAGTGTTAATTATTGACTGGAACCAAAGACCATCCTTTTCTCGGGTTAATAATTTAATGGCCGTACACTGTTCATATGTGGTTACGTAAACGACCGTATACTGTTCATATGTGGTTACTTAAACGACCGAACACTGGTCATATGTGGTTACTTAAACGACCGTACACTGTTCATATGTGGTTACGTAAACGACCGTACACTGTTCATATGTGGTTACTTAAACGACCGTACACTGTTCATACGTGGTTACGTAAACGACCGTACACTGTTCATATGAGGTTACTTGAACGACCGTACACTGTTCATACGTGGTTACTTAAACGACCGTACACTGTTCATATGTGGCTACTTAAGGTGGCTGAACACAGTTTCTGATACCTGCACCGCATTTGCCATTTTTAAAAAACCGCTAATCTCTGGGCCGCCAAATTTTGCCAGACATCAATTAAAAGGATAGACTATCGTATTTTGATAGTTAAGGTGGCGTGTGTGTCGTTTCCATGGTAACATGACTGTATAAAAACATGCCTTTAAAGCCAGGTTTTGTTCATTCGCATAAACACAAGCCTTTCCGAGAAGGTCGAGATAATCAAAAAATTATCCATTCGCAATGTTTTTTTTCAACTGCGAATGCCCTGCATTCAATTGGGTTCCCGCCTTGACGAAAATCCTGCAAAATTCCTGGATTTTTTGCATCTTGAAACTCTCTAATTTACTATTCTAACAAACAACTAAAACCTACAACAGCGTGTGTTATTGTAAGAAGGAAAAAACACATATGGAACAGGTGTTGAACAAATAAACTATATCATGTGCTTATGTAACCTTGGTGGTGGTTAATTTGCCCGTATATATCCTGATAGAGGTTAAAGTAATGAATTACTACAGAGAACAAAAAATCGTGTCTCACCATCAGTCGATCGTCGGTCTTGGATGTCTTCATGTATGCTACACGAAGTATATATATCAACTTTCCAATGTTGTTTAATTCGTAAAAAAATTTATTTTTCAACCAAACTAATTCAAATTGAGCTCAACACCTTCTCATTCTCTGACGATATATGGCACTAAACTTGAAAATAAATTTCATGACATATATACTGTATATATATATATTTTTTTTTTTCAGTGTAACTTAGTGTAATCTACAGTATGTTGCCCAGTATAGGCCTGTACCAATTTTCAGCCAACAAAAATTAAACTAATTTTTTTTATTAGCGGTAAGTGGGCAGTATTGAGATGGAAATATCTTGGATAGCCTCTAGCAAAAAAGGAAAGATACGGCGATTACAATCTAAACTTGCTGTAAAGTGGGTGACATAATGTGCCTGTTTTGTTCACTACCCTAAGCGATCGATTTTGACTACCCGTTAGAATTACTCAAATTGTTGATCTGTTCAAGTGATCTCCATTAACATTGCCATAAAATAGTAGATTTTCGAAAGGAAGAACCAAAATCTGTGCAAGTTCTACCCTTAAATGCATCGATGATAAAAAGTGCGCATTTTGGTTGATTTCCTGCCACATTTAGTATTTGCACTTGAAAATCGTTCCAAATATACCAGGTAATAATAAAAAGAATACATCATACTTTCGTCCTTGCAGTTGCACACTTTTCTATTAACTTTCATGCACTTTAGTTAAAAATTGCAAGTTTTATTTTGATTTAAATTCGTGTTTGATTTCCCGCCACGAAAAAAAAACTGACTCTTTGCGATTCAAAGTATCGAAACTGACATAAAATTTCGTCAAATGAACTGGAACTTTGCACACACTTCCTTTTTAATATTATTAGTATGTGTGAATTTATTTGGTCAATTCCCTCTTAAACTAGCGAAGTTACAACTTTTTGTATCAGTCTAGTTGAAATAAAATTCATAAATGTCATTTCTTGAGCTTTGAATCTAGTACAAGACGTGCAAGTACACCAGAAAAATTTCAAAAGTCAAAAAATGCATATTCCCTCAACGGAGGTAACATAAGGTAATGGTATAGGAGTCGGGTGATTCATAAATAACCCTATTTTGCGCGAAAAAAAAGTTTCCTGGGATTAAATTGTCTTTTTTGAGTAAAGTGGTTGATTTCCTGCCCCTTCAAAAATTAAACAGCTATAAATTCATGAAACTTTGTCAAAAAAGGAAACCGTGCATTTTTTCATGGGGGATAGTAATTCTCTAACTACTGTGGAAAGTTTCAGGTTGAGAAAAAATGTCGAAATATTTTTTTGGATGAGGTCAAAAACCCAAGTTTTCCCTGGCACCCATGTTCTTGATGAGGAATATACAGAGAGAGAGAGAGAGAGACACAGAGAGAGAGAGAGAGAGAGAGAGAGAGAGATAGAAAGAGGGGCACTGAGAAAGTGTTATGTTTCTCGCTCAATAACACAACCCAATGACCTGGCCAGGTCTCAAAGCCAGACCTCCTATCAAGCCAGAGTTCAGCAAGCTAACCATTTGGCCAACACATCTCCCACAAAGTTCTAATATGCTTCTATTTAAATTTACCTTTTTTTTTCTAGGTTAGCACTGTGTATGTTCTGGGAAACCTCAAGCTTCCAGCCATATTTCTTCTGTTTGTTACCACTGTAGGAATGGTTATATCGCTCTCAGGACTGTCATTTCCTTACTCAGCCATCAATCAGTGCCTTAAAAGGGTGTTCTTTCAGGTAAGAAGAAACTCATTCAATCAATTCATTCAATCATTTTCCTGCAGGATTGTACCAACTGTTTCAGCTAATTGAACTATTTTAACTAGTTGAACCAATTCAGCTAGTTTTTGTGTTTGTTCTAGTGGAAGCAAATCAGCATGTTTGACTATTTTAACCACTGAAACAAATCTAGCATATCTGTGCAATTTGTTTAGTTTAACCTACTCAGCTGATTTGACCACTTTTACCAGTTGAACCTATTCAGTTAATTTGTGTGTTTTGTCCAATTTACCGGTAACTGTTTTAGCCAATTTTGGTGGTAACAAGACAATGTGAACAAACAAATAGTATGCTAGTCTCCAGATTGAAGTGAGCAGAATAAACAGACAAAAATTGTATTCAGATCAGAGGTTCTCATATAAAAAGTTTAACCCTTTGCACCAGATCTCTTTGCATTTCCCATAGTACTGACAAGGAGAATTTGTTTGATAATCAAGAACTTCCCTAAGCAATGATCATTTCCTTTATTCTTACAATGACCTGAAACAACTTCAAACAAAGTTGAAGCCTTTTCTTTTGAAACATGTCTCAACTTCCCCAACCAGGATTTGCTGAAAATGCAAGTTGCAAAGCCCTGACACTGTGCATGCTTGCATTTTAATTGTTCAAGCTTTCAGCATAGATTATTACTTTTTGGAGGGTTCTAAATTCACACTGGAGTGCACATTTTCACAACCATTTATTAGACCATTAAATAGTGGGTATGTTCACACCATTGATGACGCCATCCAAAAGATGTTTTTCAGTTAAACCTCTCATCAACATTTTTTCTACATGCAGCACACATCAAGAACATTTTACAATAATGCTGGTGAAGTGGTTCAACAAGATGCAGGTGCCTGGATCACTCCACTAGACTATCTTGGCATACAGCCATTCAGTGATATACCCATGTTTAAAAAGGCTTTGCCTGCACCTCAGGACGGAGTTTATGGAGGTTTTCCTTATTACTTGCCATTGAGGCATCTTGTGCGGTATGTGGTACTTGCTCATTCAATGTTCTTCGATTGGTCTCTGGTTATTCATTGCATGGCCAATTCACTGGAATTTCATCGAAGAAAAGTATGGAATAGAATACAAGCTGTCAGGCTTTGCTAACTTAATACGTTAGACAAGTTGGGCAGAAAATACACAGCTTTGCTTTAACTCTGGAATGGGAGGGGTCAGTAGAAAATGGCAAAGAATTATTCTGGCAAATCATTAGCTCTGTGTGCTTAATTAATCAACTGGCTAAGAAATGGGGACCATGTGTTATCTATTAAGTGTTGATCTTCCTTTCATGCCATATGTGATTTATTTATTTTGCTCACCTATCCTTGAATGTTTAAGGAGCACTTTCATGGCTACTTGATAACAAAGCTACAATAAACAATAGGTACCATGAGCCATCACACTTTTTTCTTTCACTGTTACTCCGACATCCTTATAGCATTTAGTTTGTGACATGTACTGGGTGATTTGTGATAATTGTTCCTTAGATCCCAATTATAGAAAAAGAATCCTGCATGAACCCAACTCTGAATTTATTTGATTACTATTCTGAACATTTAATATTACTGTTTAGTTTAATTTTATAACTCTGTCTAATTGTGAAGTATTGCATTTGCAATCAGAAAATCTTGGTATCTCCCTGGTCCTCCACCTCAAGTCAAAACATCTCCAATGGAAGTGAAATTGCTACATAGGAAGAAACAGGATCAAGTTTACTCATTTAAATTCTCAATATCAGGTCAGGTTTCTCTCTTTTAACCCTTTGACCCCTTGAAGTGACCAGCATCTAATTTCTCCTTACATTATCATGTCATGCATTCATATCTCACCAGTGTCTGACTTCTAACTGCCTTAGGTCCTGATCACATGGCTGTATATGTATCACCTGCTAGTGACGTAGATTTGCTGACCTCTTCCCTTGGTCCCCTTTTACCAATTCAAGATGGTGGAGACAGAGTTGTGTACTTTATTTACTATTCTCATGGTACTGATGTGGGGCCCTGGGAACTATCGCTTGAGCTTCTGGTGAGTTGGACAATTACAGTATTAATCATACTCGTGATTAACAAATCAGACTCCTGCCTTGCGGTCGTCTGACTTTGTAAGCTTCTGAAATGTTCCAGAACATTTTGTATATATATATATATATAAAGACTCACTTATGTGGTAGTTGGGGTAGTTGTTGTTGTTGGAGCAACGACTGTATAGAAAGCTATACTGAGAGAGAGTTACTGCTGAAGATCACTTATTTCAAGGAACTGTGGAGACAGCAGTGAGATTGTGTCAGTGGTGAGCTAGGATTTAGACTGTGGTGGGCTTAATTAAGTTTATTAATGATAAGTATTTTACTGCTTTGAGGAGTTGCTCCTTGTCAAGAACATCACTTGCTGTTTAATAAAATATTAAGTTTGTAGGATTGTAGTGTTTTCTGTCAGTTAGATTATACAATAACAAAATAAACTACCGGTATTAGTATCTGGTGTTTGAAAATTGATAACCTTAGTCTGTAAGCAGGTCCTTATTATAGGTGCTTTGGCACAAGTGTTTCTTCACCTGCAGGAAAATATGAGGCCTTGAGTAACACAGCACCACAGTTTTGTAGAAATGTACACCCTTTAAAAAGTGCAAGACTTCATTTTGTCGTTATAGAAATGAAGAATGCTTCATATTGTTGTTACAAAAACAAACAATGCTTTTAGGGTCATTACTCAAACATATTTCAGTTCTGACTAAATGATTGCTTTCTGTGTACTAGTCAAAGTCTTCATGGTTTTGGTGGAAATGAACACTGCATAAGTGATAAAGATTTCTCAAATTCACAAAACGTTTGTGAGTTCAAAACAAGTTCATATCAAATGAACAATGCTTCATTTTGTTGTCATCACTAGAACATATTTCTTTTCTGATCATCATCTTCATGGTATTATTAGGAACAAACAGCGCTTTATTGATAAAGATTTCTCAACTTCATTACCCATTTAGAGTCTGTCAGTTAGATCTTTTCAGTATTTGTTTCCTCGTGAGACATGACTCAGGATTTCTGGCAACAAGACTAAAAGTTTCAGGCAACTTGACTCTGGTTTTGAGCAACATGACTTTTGGGTGACTTGACTTGAGCCCTGGTGAACCCCCTCCCTGACCTGTCTCAAGTATTCCTTGGGCAGAGAAACGTGGGTCCTGCAGTGCTGATAGCAAGCACTTGCTCTCAGGCTAATATATCCCAAGATTCTTTTAATTTAAATATCATTTCAGCCAAAAAGACACCTCCCGGCCAAGAGCAATTTGTTGGACTTTGCTGTGGCAGCTCATTATATTCACGGTAAAGAGTCATCTTCACCTTTCCTCAAAGAAGTCATTCAAGCTATTCCAGACTGGATTTTTGCTAATGATTGGGTGGACACATACAAGAGCTGGTCTTACACTACATAATTCCCTGTATTGCAAGAATGCATCAGTCCAAGACCTTCTAAACACTACTATGAAATACTGAAAAACAAAAATTTCAAGCCAGGAATTTGAAGAATTGCACCAGTTTGAAACAGTTCACAGGTTGAAAATTATCATGAAGATTTTTACATTTTAGGGTGGATGACCTCAAAATTATTTATCAGGATTATAAGAAAATTTGACAGGAAAAAAATGGATGTGAAATAACACATCATCAGAAGAAGTCAGGCTGGTCATACATGAATCCAAAAAATTTTTAAAATCACCTTAATTAATTTATAACGATTTTATCTGGAAATTAAGTTCCAAATAAAACTAAGGAATCAAGAAACAAAGTAAAGGATTGTTTGCTAGCCTGTAGTCTGTCAGCAGACCCTCAGTATAATGATCCCCTTTAATGCCCAAGAGTGCCATATGGGACAAAGCATGTTGAGGGCATAAAAGCATAGCCCCCTCCAATATAACACTTGATATACCACCCTTCAACTTTTTGTCTTTTTACTGTATTGGTCTATATCTCACAACAAACAATGCTCTAGGAGCTACAATTTAAGCTATAGTTTATTTAACAATCGGTTCATACGTCAGCGTGCGTTCATCGAGATATGAAGCACGCGGGAAGTTTGGAGAGCACGAAAGATGCGTAAGAGTTGCTCGTGGCGTAGCTCTAGCTTCTCGAGTGCTCTCTAAACTTCCCAAGTGCTTCATATCTCGATGAACGCACAGCTGACGTATGAACCAATTGTTTTAAAACATTTTCAACCCGATGGAAAATTTTTTCTCGAGGGATTTGTTTGCTGACGTCATGAGCGTGCACAATAGGAATATGAAGCACGCTCGCGCAATTGAATTTGATTAGACAAATTTACTAGCTCTGTTATAATATAACATAGCGTGTGAATTTGTCTAATCAAATTCAATTGCATGAGCGTGCTTCATATTCCTATTGTGCACGCTCATGACGTCAGCAAACAAATCCCTCGAGAATTTTGCACTCAATCAGAAAATAAAGTTCATTTACACGCATGAATTCACCTGTCAGTTTTTTGACCAATCTAAGACAAGATCGTTTACAGCGTAGCGAAATGTTTTCCTGAAATAAAATTATCAACGGGCTGAAGCGTAGCAGAGGGATTATCGACCCTTTCACAACATTTAAACCATCGGGTTGAAAATGTTATAAAACAATTGGTTCATACGTCAGCTGTGCGTTCATCGAGATATGAAGCACGCGGGAAGTTTGGAGAGCACGAAAGATGCGTAAGAGTTGCTCTAGCTTCTTGAGTATATACCTATATACCCCATATGTATAAGCCAAACAAAATTTCAACCTTTTTTGTTATTTTTTCACTTTGAACACTTCTCAGTATTTTTAGTTACATCCTCCTCGCCTGTTTGTGTCGTTATAGCATACCCCTGAAAATACCTTTGAAATGATATATTATACGTGGTCTAAAGGTTCATCGTTCTCGTTTTAGAAAAATTTGGCATTTCCCTTAAGCAGTAAAGGTATAACCGTTTCCGCACGAGTGGTTCTTTGCTTGCGGGAGAATATGAGGCCTTGTGTGACGCAATCCAGTCAGCAAGGGGTCTAGTACTCATTAATGCTACACCACCGTCAAACTTCTCCCTGACTTTTTTCAAACTTTCCTGTGGAAAGAGAAACGCATGTCCTACACCCTGTTCAAGCAGTTTAGTTAGAAAATGGAGCATGATGGTAAACTGAGCGACAGTAGCGGCAGAGCGAAAAGAGGAGGGAGGTTTTGGGTTGAGTTGGATAAAAGTGGAAACCTTGATTCTATTTTCGCTCTGCTGCTACTATGTGCTGTTCACTATTGTGCTCTGTTTTAATGACCGAACACCTGGAACAGGCTAGTTGTTTTCAAATTTTAAGCTCTTAACCAATTTAAAAGGGATATAGCTATCACCCCTGGCTTTTACAAGCCTTTAAAGAAAAAAGCTGAAACGAGTTGGAACTCCCCCTATTGCCAGCGTAACTGGCATTTTTGTGTGCGCTTTAATATGTCAAACCAGGAGGAGCCTTGGAAACAGGTGACAAAGCCATGAGAGGCTTGGAACAGGAAAAAAGGTTTCTCTGACTAAACCTCCACTTCTTATGGGGAGCCATTTGTGCCAATATCATCAATCGCTGGTGACACAACTCGATCGTTAGTGCTGAAATATCAATCGCTAGTGATAAAACTCAATCGTCAGTGCTAGCAACAACTCCACGAACTCCTTGTGACAGAAGAGACCTTAGGTAGACCATCCTGTCTACCTACCTCTCGCCCTGACTTGAAACCGACTCAAAGCCCGAGTCTCCGAGGATGACGCAACACGCGCTTAACTCAAAAGAACAACAGCGCAACTCTGTCGATTGTGACTGTTCTCAGCGCCTGATGGACAGCGAAAAACCCGTTTTCTTTAACTTCTCGATGCAAAACTTTAATTAACTGCAAGAAAGCCTCATTTTTGGGGTTAGAGCATTTATTGTAAGAGAAACTCAGTCCGACTCAGAACTGATCCTGAGAAAAAAAATTTTTATCTCTCTTGTATGCTACATGCGCCGCCGTTTGCAATTTGTACACAACATATTTTATCATATGAAAATCCGACAGTTTTTGTCCTGCGCAGTAAGCCATCAAGGCTTGATAATTTTAGAAAGTTCTATTTTTCAAGAGAAGATCGAACAACGAAATAAACCTTGCAATAATTGTTTTTAAAGCGGATGAACAGAGATATATGGGTCAATGTTTGCACAGTATTTGAATGACTTCAAATTTGATTCCACCAGTAGTACGGTCATTTGAAAACCTAATTTTCTGGCTTGACGAGTTACTAGCAAATTTTATAGGTATGGTTAGCTCTGTGAGCTCTACTTTAATAAGATAAAATAGATATATGGGATCGGACGAGGTAAAAGTGATTGATGATAAATGGACTCTTCCCCAGGATAAAGTTAATTCTGTTTTCATATGGTTTCAGCCGGTTTGTGCTAATTTTGTTTCAAGTGAAACTTGTCATTAATAATTGATTTAAAGATAACAATATGTTAGTAAGCCTTTGCTCTTTTGTTTCAATAGCCTTGATAATTGGTCGTCAAACACTTGAATACTTATTTGTTTTGATAGTATGCCAAAACAGTACTAGCACTTTGCACCTTCTGTGCGCCTCTCACGCTTTAAGTTCGCTAGAAAATTACTCCATCATCGAAGAAACTCAACTTTGAAAGGTAAATGGACACTTTCGTATTTTTTTTTCTCATGAATGCATGGTGCGAGTATCGATGCGGTCTAGTTTTCCTAGTAGTTTTTCTCTAATTTTTCATCTAATTTTCATCTTTCATTTACTTCAAGGAAGTTTTCCCTTTCACAGTGATGACATTTTCGACAGGCTAAGTCTCGCAAGTTTACAATTGTGGTAAATGAAAAACGACGAGTTCAGACCTAAGAGTTTTAAAAGCGTGATGTATACCACTCAGTTTAAGATACGGCTGTCTAAGGCAGCCGTAATCTTCACAGGAAACGTGACCACAAATTGGTCGATTATTTGGTTGAAAGCTGTATTGAGAAAAACATTAACAGTTCTATGGCATCGAGTAGACCGAGCATCTCTTTTATGTACCGTTGTTATAGACGTAAAATGACCTGTTTTAGAGAAAGAAGTGGTGGTAAAATATTCTTTCAATTTCCATTTTTGGAAGAAAGAAATTAGTGATCGGGACGTCTTTCCCATATCCGTAATAATGTTTTAAAGACGGTTGGTCTTGATACTTAACTTTTATAATTTTGGAAAATCGGAAACGATAGGTTCTGGGCAAAGATTTCAAAAGCGTGATGTATATTCGTCAGTTTTAGACAGTTGTTTAAGCCGGAATCTTCACAGGAAACCTGACTCAGAATTAATTCATTCTTTTGTGAACAGGTGGAGTTGAGAAAACATGTTCAGGTCTTTTGCTTCAAATCGACCGAGCTTCCCTTCATGTACCACTTTTCATAAACACAAAATGACCTATACTAGAAAAAGAAGCTGGCACTTGATAGGGAACATTTTATGCCCATTTGAGATTTTATGGATTTGAAAAGAGCTGCGAGGTCTTCCACCCAGTTTTCTAATTAAAACGCATGGTGCTAAGAACTTTGCTAATTTCAATCATTTTAAAACATTCCCCACTTAGATCGCTGGCTTACATCTGAAATAAGGTATTCTCTTTTTTTTTCTTAATCAGGGTGAGTGATACCTGATATTCTGCTTGCTGCTCCAGAGTAAACTGACATGAAGGTATTAAAACGTAAAGATGTTTTGCGCATGCAATCTAAATTTAGAATGATGCCCCTTTGCTCCAAGCTTACCTTCTTGAAAGTCGTCTTTCACGACTTGAAATCAATGATATGTCACCTAAATGAAGAGTTAAAAACAAAAGAACAAGACCAAAAACACATCAAAACAAATCAAAGGCGGAAAACACACTTTGCACAATATTGCGGGAGGTATTTTACCGTTGGCCTCACATTTGTCTTTAGAAAAAGCAATACATTGAGGCATGAGTGAGACATTTGGCCACAAAATGGCTGGCAATTGTTTCAGGAAGTTCGGGTGATATCTAAAAAGCTCAATACACGGACATCCGAACAAAAAAAAAAAGAATTCGAAGGAGTGAATATTACTGTGCTCAACTGCTGTTCTCACGTTAACCTCAAGTTATGTAAGACTCGGCTTTAATCATCAAGCTACAGGAACATGTACATTGAATAATGATAGAAGTGGCTCATATTGTACTCAGTTTTAGGCCTGAAACTTAAATCGGCTAAGCTCTGGGATTTGCTGTTTAAATCTAAAAAAAAAAAAAGAGAGAGCAAACGGAACGAAAAGGCCATTTGTTAATGTTTTATGCAATCAAACGTGAGTTTGTGATAAGGTGGATCTGAAGCCCATGTGCTTTTATGACGTATTTTGATGTGATAACCACTTTGCAGTAAAATTAGAGGAGCCAACAAGCGTGGTTTTAGATTGTCATTACTTAACCGGAAATTAACAAATTCAGTTGACGCCTCCATCTTTCAGTAAGTGTTCAATAATAATGTATTTATTTTAGTTATTTTTGTTTACCAACTAAAAACTACCAAGATTACACAAATGAAATGGATGTGTGTATGAGAGTTTATTATATCGCTGGCAGAGCCCGCGGGCAATATGAGGCGAATTCTGTGTTCTAATTGCCCACCTGAGCGGGCCCATCTTGTCCGCAGGGAATTTCCCATTTTGATTCAGCGCAAGAAAAAAATTACTTAGAAAAACAACTTTCTTATGTTTGGACAATACCGGCGATAAGGTCGCAAAAAGCGGCAAAAGACAGTAAAAACACAAGATAACATAAATGATAAACTTAAACGATCCTCGTAGGTTTATTTTCTACAAACACAGGGGGCTTCCTTTCCAGTCTTTCGAAATGAATGAGTGTTGATTCTTAATAAAGCGATGATCTTTTTGTTTATCATGAATCCTTTATTGACTAAGCTTGTTCGGTCTAAATGGCTGGATATTAGCCTCATTCTTTTTCCGTGTTATTGA